ACAGATGTTTCCTTTTATTTTAACCACTGTTTCCTTCCTCTTGTGAGCAGGCCATAGTCTTAACCCCTGCCTGGTCTTAGCCAGTTAATCATACAGTACTTTGCTAGTTGTTATTAGCTGGAAAAGTCAAGGGTCAGACAAACAAGTGATGGCCTGAATCATCTCTCCATCCTCAGGCCTCAGCATCTGAAATTCATCCTGCAAAAACAGACTAGGGTTCAGTAGAAACCAGATACAAGATGTTTTCCCAGAAGATGCTTGAATTGTTTTTTAGTATTTCTTATCACTGTTTTTCTGGGAAACAATGCTTTGACTGGCTGTAGTGTTCTTTGATCCTGAAATCTCTCTCTTTAACCCTTTATCCTGCAAGAATGAGACTCACACACTCAGGAGAATATCCTATAAACTCAAAGGAAATTTTAAATGCCCTAAACTTAGAGCACCATTACACAGATATCAGTTCAGTTAAATCTTTGAACTGTCTTGATATAGGAATATCACATCAATGCAACTTGTAACTCATCAAGCCAGGTGAAGCCTGCCTTAATATGGTATATCTGATTTTGGAAACTATCTAATAATGGGTGAGTGGGGCTTGTCAAACATTTGTCAGACAGAGCATAAAATGCATTTAATGAACTGCATTTGTCTTGACTGTGCAGGCTTGATGTGCAGGATCAGAATCAATGGTTTATAATCAAGCAAGGATCACTGTTGTGAGAAGCTAGATAAACATTGAAACATATTACAATTCAACAGTTACAATGCAAGGGTCAGTCGAGTACCGTATTGTTTAATGGTATAGAAATATGTTATAAAACTGCCTAGCTAATAAACTTGACAGCAATAGAATTTTCATAGTCAGCAGTTTTCAAAAAGAGATATACAAATGCTTGTTAACAAGGACATCCATTTGTATATGTTGGAAAATCTGTGGAAATTATACATATTTTGTAGAATTTTGAATGACTGCAACTATTGTACAATATAGTCATACCATACAGGTTTCTCTACTTATTACGCCTATCAGCTGATTCATTTATATAAGCTGTTGCTATGTATGAGGTGTGCCTTTGAAATAATGGAAAAGTCAAATGCAAACTAGGAAGGAGATGCTTTGAGCACGGAGAAATATAATTTTTATATTTGATACTTAACGCTGGTTTGGATATAAAACTAAATCATAGTTCAACATTATGAGAAGAGATTAGTTTCCACACAAATTCAGGGACACCTCTCCACTCCAGCACCTGCAAGTACAAGTTCAAATTTACTTGAATTTTAGATCAGCTGTAGCTTGCCATGTTGTTCAAACACAGAAAGCTGCGGTTAAATTTAACTATATTTTGGTCAAGGTCAGGATTTTTTTCATGCAGCTACTGACATCACAAAGATATGTCTGATGGCTTTCTTAGTCTTTCACAGAAGATGCATATTAAACTTTGAAACTTTGTGTGTACTTTAGGCATCAAAGATAATGTGAAACGTGTGGTTAATGAAATTGTGTATTCTTACAATAGATTATTCCTAATAGATTGATTTCTTTTAGAGGTGAAGCTTTACACTGGATTCTTCCTTTAGATTTACTGCAATACAAGACTTCTGTGTTTATTCAAAATGCGTATCTTGCCCTTCAGTTAAAAAGTCTAAGGCAATGTACAAAATTAATTAAAGCAGCAACTAAAAGTCCACAGTATAAACAAAAAGCCATGGCAATTTAGGTACAGAAATCAGCAAATGCTTGTCCAAATAAATAAGTCATTCAAGACACTAAAACTATACAGTATATATATAGCATAGTAAAAGGGGGGGGGGACACAGATTTTTTTTCACATGTATTATGAGAACTGGCTACTAGAGGACACCAGAGACCATGCTATGTATTCTTCACAAACAAATATTCATAGCATGGATATTTGGGTTTTTCTAGTGGCCATTTCTGGTAATACATGTGAAAATAATTTTTTTTCTGGAATGTTTCTTTTAGTATTTTTAATATTTTCAGACTTTAGATAAGTGAATCAGTGGATACTGCTGCTATGGATAAGGGGGTCCTACTGTATCAGGTTTAGCTGCTGTCCTCCTGGGGTTGGGAATGTAGACAGAATTTAAAAGGCAAGACATTACAACAGAAAAGTGCACACACATACACCCATCAACGGAACTACCTGTACGTGTGAAGGAATAATTGGGAACCCTCAGTCTATAGATTTCATGGAATGGGCAGGTTGGTATGGAGAGACATGTTCCTTCATATAATCTGGTGGTTTGTATGTTAATATATATCACCTTAAACTGGTTTGACAACTCACTTTCAACTAGTGCTGCTTGATAATCTGGTGGTTTGCATGTTAATACACATCATCTTGAACTGGTTTGACAACTCACTTTCAAGCACTGCAGTTCTTTTATTACGTGTGCAACACCTTGCGGTAGGACGCCTGACTCAATAACCTGCCTATTGCATTCTGCACTAGCTGCAATTTCTGAGCCAGTCTCAAGGGAAGTCCTAAAGGAGTGTATCACTGTAATCCAGCCTCACTGTATACTTCACTGTGGCCAGAATATTTTAATTCATCTATGTCAGACAATAAATAATACTGAAACAATAATTGTTACAAGATGTTCAAGCCAGCAGTAAAGAGGGGCATTCTTGTTTTTCCTACATCTCTAGGGAAAAATTAAAAACATACATTAAATACAATGCTATGGTCTCCACCAAGGCATCTTGAAGAACATAGGATTTTTTTAAACAGTCCCAGTGCAATCCTAAATTTATCTACTGAGAAGTACTTTCCCTGGAGTTCAATAGAACTTATTCCCCACTAAGTGGATGTATGCTTGCAGCCTAATTTACGGAAAAGGAAACAATTCTCTATGCCGTTTTAATACGGCATGTAGAATAGGAAGTTTTTTTTTAAAAAAACTGTTTACTTAAAGTGCAAAAATGCCTTAGTGCAAAACTGATCTTCTTAGAAAGAACTCCCGAGGAAATGTCAATATGTACATTGCTTCCTTGTTTTTCTTTTCTCTGGAAAAAAAGCTACTCATTATGTTGCCTATTCTCATGGCACAGAAACTGACCAACATCAATATAATGCTTACTTTTAAAATGGTTTGACAAAACTGAACAGTTCACTGAACAGACAGTGCAATCTTAGGGCAGAGATGTGCCAGCTGTAGTGAATTTTGAATGGGAAGAAGCTTCTTGTGGCAGCTGCTCTTTTACCTACAGAACCCCCTTCTGTTAGCTGGTCTCTGAGATCCGCCAGCATACCTACTGTGCTGGCTAAGGTCAGCAGGCAGAAGCAGCAAATGATAGGGGAGAAGGGGCAGGGCAAGAGAAGAGCCAAGTTATACCAAATCCAGACCTTCTCCAAACCAGGGACACAACCACTCTGCCAGCACAAAATTAGGCCAAGATTACGATGCTTTTAAATAATTTCCTACATCCCTAGGCAGAGAGGGGTTTAGATTCAGCTCAGCTTACACTGGCCTAGTGATTGTTCAGTTGGCCCTACTACCATCTTGGCTAGTTAGGATTGTGCCCTTGGGTATATTTGCAAATGTTAGTCAGTTAATCAGATGAGGGAGGAAACATTTTGACCAACCAAAAATATGCAAACTATTTGGGTGGATTAATGTACTGCACTACTTTAAAATGAACACTGCAGGATTTTAATATAATCTTAAAACAAGATGCATCTGTTTCTCACTCATACGGCGTGGAATATTTCTGCTGTACCTTTTATAGGAAATAGAACTATTGCTTTCATTCCGATGAAAAATGTGCAAGATGCCACTGATTATTCAGTGGGTGATGTAATTAAAACACTCATGTACCTTCGTACATCTAGCACATTTATGTACATCAGATGGATTTGGTGATTCAGCAAGTAACATCCCAGATCACAGAAGGATGGATGTCAGTCAGTCGTTACTGTTTTGACCACTTTGGTCATCCAACTTCCACAAATTAAAAACATAAGTATAAATATAAATATATACACAAGCTTGATGTCAGCTGAACATCCACAGTGCTAGCAAATTAAAAAGGATGGGTGTCATTTTTGGATCTTTCTAGAAAGAAATGCATAGTTTTAAGGAAGTTGTTAGAAGAAGGTTCCCAAAATTATTGTGGACATGGTGGAATTTCAACCTCAGAATACTGAATGCGGTGTTTGAGGAAAAAAATGAGAAAGGGACTCATAGAATGCACAATACACTCTTCCAGTTTAAACTAACTCTTGGGTTTGTTGTGGCAATAAAGTTTTGGAGGGGAGAGCCCCCCCCCAGCCCTGAGCTTGCTTAAAGGATGATTGAACAGAAATAAACTAATAAATAATTTAACTATTTCAATTATTCAAATGCATCCAGCATTAAACTGGTTTCTGATATTTAAAAAATATATAAACATGGATACATTACACCATTTCAGTAATTATAATCACTAGATGCAGACCTGAAGAGTTGATTGCTAATGGCAAATTGTTATTTTAGCATCTTATCACCCTCCACTGTAGCAATGAGAACCAACATAATGCAATGCACATTAGAGCAAGAAATTAAATGATCTTGATCAGTTCTTGATAAACGCAGGAACAGAGAGAGAGAGAGAGAGAGAGAGAGACACTGTTGCTCTCCGCTGTCTCCAGAAGCCCCATGTTCTCCAAACTGTTCTCTTAAAATGACAAGGATCGACTGAAATTTTATTCAGACACCTTGCTTTTGTTTTTGCAAGAAAACCACCCCATAATAGGTTTTCAATTGATTATGGACAAAGGACCCGAACTAGGGCAATTGACAAGGGACTGGGATGAGTGGCCGCCTTCTGCGAAGGTTAAATCGCGGTTGCGTCCAAAACACCGAATATTTCCGTAGTTGCTGAAGTCAGTTCTCGTGAATGATCCGTGCCTCCACCCCATATTATAAAAAAAAAGGGGGGGGAATGGGAGGGAAAAAAAAGAAAAAAGAAAAAAAAGGGGGGGGAATGAGAGAGAAACAAATAGCAACTCCGCCAGACGCCACTAGAGTTCTCCTTCTCCCAAGGATCCGTGGCTTCATCCTTAAATCCTGTTTACCCCCGGAAAGCTAGAAGTGTGGACAGCCAGGAGAAGAAGAAGAAGAAGAGAGGAAAATTCAGACACAATAAAAACTCCGATGGGGGGGAAAAATATGTAGAAGGAGGAGGAGGAGGAGGAGGGAGCCGCGGCCTGGGGGAAGGGAACGAAAAGTTTCGCCTGGGTTAACTTCTCTTCCTCCGCCTGCAGCAAGAGAAAGCGCAGCAGTCAAGAGCACAAGGTGAGGAAGGCTTGGGGAGGAGGAGTGTAAAGGGTTGCGGGGTGGGAGGCACGCACACACACACATAGACACACACACACACGCGAGTTTGAATTTACAGCCTTGTGGAGATTATGTGTCTTCCTCCCCCCCCCCACGGCTGTGGGGGGCTGAGGGACGGGGACAGTGTCTCCATGCTGGCGGAAGGGAATCTCTCTTTTTTTCTTTTTAAAATATGATGGAGGATTATAAACATGGCGCCTTAAAAAAAAACCCAAGCCCCACGAAATCATATACACACGTTGAACCACAAGAGAGGGGCTTTCGGGGTGGGGTGAGGTGGCGGCTGTTGGAAAGGTGGAGTGGATGGGGTTTTGGTGGAGGTCTATTTATACGATATCCTTGTCGTGCCGTTCTCGGCGACAGAGAGAAGATTGCAAAATAATAATAAATGAGGAGGAGGAAAGGGGGAAAGACCGTCGTGCTCAGTCAGAAGCATTTGTGATGATGATGATGATAGGAATCGTGGTCAAGTGAACTGGAGGGTTCGGGCACCTCTTTTGTCGTTTTCTTTCTCCCTTCGCTGGAAGGAGAAAAAAAAAAGCCTCGGTTGTGTGGATGTCACGGAAATGTAGAAAAAAAAACGGGGGAAAAAGGGAGAGTGCAAGTTGGAATACGGGGCTGGAAGGCAGTCGATGGGAATCTTAAAAATCAGGAAACAATAAAGGATGCTGCGGTTTGGGGCAGCCAAAAGGGCCGTGACTTTCTGCTTCGCCTTTAGGGCTAGTCCCTGGGTGGGGGGTTTAAGTTGAGGGGGGCTTGTCTAGATCCGAGTCGAGGGATGGGAAGGAAAAAGGGTGTGTGTTAGGCAAGGCGGCGGCGGCGGGGGGAGAGAAAGGACTTCCCCGTGACGGCCCGCCTAGACCAGCGGAGCCGGGGACTCGCGTGACTCGAGAGGCCGGGCAGGGCCCCGCTCTTGTCGGTCACAAGCCTTCCCCTCTTCCCCCTGGATGGGCCTCTCGGAAGGAAGACGTCGACTGGTTGTTGTGTGTTTTTTTTGGCTCCTTCGCCTCTCGCGAGTTTCGTCTCCCGGCGGGCGGCCTTTTGGGAGACAGGTTTGGACCGAATAATGGCAGCGGGGTGGGGAGTGGGGGGGAATCCTGCGCGGGGTGTGGGCGCCTGTGGGAGAAAGGCGTGTGGGGTGGAAGAAGGAGACGCTCCCCGTCGCGCAAAAGAAAAAAAAATGAAAGGGGGGGAAGAACACCCAGACAGGGAGGAGACGAAGCGTTATGGAGATACGAGGCTAGCCTCCTGTCTGAAAGCAAGGGGGAAACGGGCACCCACGCCCACTCCCCCACCCCCAGAAAAAAAAGGTGAAGCCGCCTGTGAGGGGAGGCGGCGAGCTTAGGCGCCGTTTTCGCCCTTGCTCAGAATAATAGGGGAGGTTTTACCCTTCAGAAAGGCAAAAAAGGGAGGGAAGGTTGTTTTCTGTGCTTGGGAGGGAGGGAGGGAGTGGACGGGTGGGGTGAGGTGGGGGGCTCTTTCTCCCCCTGAGGGCGGCAGGTATGGTGGGGAAAAATTTGGTCGGTCCCCTCACCCTAAAGGTGAGGCGTGAGGTCCCCGCGCTCAGCATGAGGTGGAAAAAAATTCAGGGGGTCCCTGAGAAATGCTGCTCAGGGAATTCCCCCTGCGGTTTCTCCTCCAAAAGATTAAAAAGTGGGAGCGTGGGAGAGATAACGTTTAAGGACTCAAATATTTATTTGCCTCATGAGTCTTTCGTGCTGCTACGTGGACGGTGGCTGGTTGAAGAGGGATTGGGAGTCTTAATGGGTGACCCCCACCACCACCCTGCCTGTCAGTTTAGTTTTAATGGACGGAGGGGGATTCCAAACTGGTTTGGGTTGTTTAAGAAGTTACAAATTGATATGGAGTTCAGTCAATGGATGAGGTACTGATTTGAATCTGTTTTGCGTTGATACTTGGTGGCTCCAAAGGGTGAAGGCCTACTTTCTTTTAAGGCTTGTGTGGCCTTTTAGGATTGAAAAAGGGCACCGTGTAAACCTCATTGAACTTTGTGGGATTTCTCTTTTCATCTTCTATTGGCATTAAGGAGGTTAATGCAGAAGATTAAAGCATGTGAGAGCTACACAAGATTTGTTCTTTTGTGGCCTGTTTCAGAATTGTATTGATTGATTTGATTTGATTTGATTTGTATCCCGCCCATCTGGTCTATGCGACCACTCTGAGCGGCTTCCAGTATAATACAAACAATTAATAAAAACACATAGTTAATTGTAGGGCTAGATCCCCCAAACCAGCTGAACAGGTTGTCTTGTGGCTCTTTTTTATTAGGCTGTCATGTAACAAGGGAATATTGGTTAAGGTTTCTTATTATTTTTATGTGGCGTCATGTTACTTCTGACTTACGGCGCGACTCTGTGAATTTGTGACTTCCAAATGGTCTGGTCATTAACAGCCCTGTTTAGGTCTTGCAGTCTCAAGGCTGTGACTTTCGTTATTGAATCAATCTATCTCATATTCAGTGGTCCACTTTCCCCAGCATTATTGTCAGAGCATTGTATAGCATTAGAGATTTGTAAGGATTTTTACATGTGTCCAGTTTAATGGTGTAGTTGTCTTGCTGTGGGGCCTAAGGCAATGTACATATAGTTTCAGTGTGGTTTCCCATTTAGGAATTGGCCAGCGCTGAGCATACTTATTTTCAGCAAAGTTGCTGTAAATGTCAGAATCTCTAGTGTATTGTATATATTTATTTAATTATTAATTTCTTGGATTTATCTTGCCTCCTTCCCAAAAATGGAGTGCGTGGCTCATAGTATATTGAATTAAAAAGTAGCATTAAAATTAAGCAAATATTAAAACTGAATTAGATTAATGATAGAATTTAAAACAGTTCGAAAGAATTGCAACCACGATTTAGAATCACATTGCTAAGCCTTTTACATGGATAGAATCAGCAAGTTGCCTTTGCAGTCGTACAACCTTCCAAATTTTTCTCCAAGACATTCTTTTCTCCAATTATGTGTTCTTTAAGGAAATATTTCCTGCCATAACATCTTCTCTATAGGATTCCATGAGCAGAAGAAATAAAGTCATATTAAAACAAAGCTATCTACTGAAATGCTGTTTCATTCCACAGTTGAAATGCCTTTTACTAAAAAACAAAAGGAACAATAAGAGATCATGATTCTTTCCTGTACCAAAATAAAACATTGAGCATATTTATGTATTTTGTCTCGAAACCTGAAATAGTGAACTTAAATTAATCCAGTTCAATATATTGCTTCTATTAAATAAAAGCCTAATTAAATTGGGTATTTTCCCCATATGCTTGCATTACAACTTCTGAATCCCTATTACCACTGCCTTTTCTTTTAACTGTTCAATAAACTGTTGCATTAGAAGCAAAGAATAGGAGAGGTTGTATGTTTTACAACTTCAGAACTGTTTCACATGGGAGCTTTGCAGCTTCAAGATAAGGAGCTGCATCGGAAGCATAAGCAAAGCCATGCCAGACCAGCCAAAAAGTTTATGCTGTCCAGCATTCTATTCACACAGTAGTTAACAACTTGCTTATGGATAGTCCACAAGAAAAACACAATTGACCAGCACCCCCATCTAGATGGGGCAAGTGGGTTAATGGCAGTAGACTTCCCCACCCCTCCTTTCTAGGTGAGTCCCTCTAGCCCTCTGAAAATGCTCAGTAGTGTGTTTCAGGCCTCTGCAGAATGGGGTAGGCTGTTTTGTATAAACTAGGAAGTCCCAAAAATGTATCACAGGCTCCTTCCATGATCTAGCCTCAGCCTCTGGGTGTGGGGGTATGATGCCTTCATTCAGAAGATTCTCCAATCCCCTGTGTACTATTTTCAGATGGCGATGAAGTTCACACACTTGCACTTGACTAATATGGATCCAGTCCATGGAATTTCATTATGTTCCATGGTCCTGTAAAGAAATATGTGAGTGTTTGTTTAGCTTTTCATAAATCCTTTGCTTTTAGGACTGTGCTCTACTGCAACACATTAGAGACAGTCCCTGGGCCAGAGATAATAGTAGCAATTTCAGACAGACACCTACATTCTTAACACCTAGGCTCTATTCTGCATTTCTTAACTAATGCACTCTGCTTTATCATGACTTTCAATATAGATAATTCATAAGCATTATTGAAAAGGTGTCTCTAATTTTAAAGTGGCTAATTTGTGATAATAGCCCTTATTTGTCATTTGTTGTCTGTGTTATTTTAGTCATACAGTCATTCCTCACTCTGGTCATGTGCCTTCTCAAAAAGTTTAAACCATTTACCTTTTACTAAGGAGTTTGTCTTTATCCAGGGAAGCATTTGAGTTGGGAATCTGGACTGTTTTTTGTCTGTTTTCTTTCCAAATGATGCACACACAAACAGTGATAATCAGGCACCTGCTGGTTCTGGTCTTTCTGGCTGCTTATACTCTGCGGACACAGGTCACACAAACAGTACAAAATATAATAGCAACATTTTAGGGCGTTTTGCCCTCAGACTGATTCTGATCCTAAAAGCACTCATGTAGTATAACATTTATTCCCTCTGTTCATGTAGATTAGGACGTTGGAGTTTGTGGGTGTGGACCCATTGGTCCTGAAGGATCAGCTGAGATTACCCAGGTGTGTATGGCAGATGAGGTTACATGCCTTACTACCTGTTCAGTCTTGGATAAGGTGCATGATCTTAGCGTGCCAGATGAAGAAAGGACTAGTAATCTACTTCTGAATATGCCTAGCAAATTCTGGGAGGGTCACAATAACATGGAATTGACTGGATGACACTTTTTTTAAAAAAAGGTTCTTCCTCTTTGTCAGGATATTGAGCTAAAATGTTACATTGTGGTCTTCACTCTACAACTTTCACTTTTTGAGGTTGTTTATTATACACAATTTAAGTTTTTGCCAAAATGGCTTACGTTCATAGTGAGTTTAAATAAAGGAGTTTCCAGATGTAACTTTGTAGACCTACCTATGCT